GTTGACCAATTTAAAAAACGGGACCCAGAATTAAAAATGTAAATACACTGTTAGATTTGGCATATCAAAGAACCCCAATAATTCAATTTTTGATGAAATCAAACAAATTTAATTTTGGACCCTTTTGACCTCAATATGAACCAATTTGATAGCAGGGCCCACAAATAAAAAATCTAAATACATGGTTAGATTCAGCATATCAAAGAACCCCATATATTCAATTTTTGTTGAAATCAAAAAAAGTTTTTAATTTTGGACCCCAACTTGGACCAATTTAAAAACTGGGCCCATAATCAAAAATCTAAACACATGTTTAGATTCAGCATATCAAAGAACCGCAAGAATTCAATTTTTGTTAAAATCAAACTAAGTTTAATTTTGGACCCTTTGGACCTTAATGTTGACCAATTTAAAAAACGGGACCCAGAATTAAAAATGTAAATACACTGTTAGATTTGGCATATCAAAGAACCCCAATAATTCAATTTTTGATGAAATCAAACAAATTTAATTTTGGACCCTTTTGACCTCAATATGAACCAATTTGATAGCAGGGCCCACAAATAAAAAATCTAAATACATGGTTAGATTCAGCATATCAAAGAACCCCATATATTCAATTTTTGTTGAAATCAAACAAAGTTTAATTTTGAACCCCAACTTGGACCAACTTGAAAACTGGGTCCATAATCAAAAATCTAAACACATGTTTAGATTCAGCATATCAAAGAACCCCAATAATTCAATTTTTGATGAAATCAAACGAAGTTTAATTTTGGACCCTTTTGACCTCAATATGAACCAATTTAATAGCGGGGTCCACAAATACAAAATCTAAATACATGGTTAGATTCAGCATATCAAAGAACCCCATATATTTAATTTTTGTTGAAATCAAACAAAGTTTAATTTTGGACCCCAATTTGGACCAACTTGAAAACTGGGCCAAAAATCAAAAATCTAAATACATGTTTAGATTCAGCATATCAAAGAACCCCATATATTCAATTTTTGTTAAAATCAAACAAAGTTTAATTTTGGACCCTTTGGACCTTAATGTAGACCAATTTGAAAACTGGACCCAAAATTAAAAATCTAAATACACGGTTAGATTCGGCATAACAAATAAATAAATGTGGTCAAAGATTTTACAATCTAATGCGCCATACTGTGCAATTAAAGATTATTTCTTGAAATTTTTCAATATTTGAAATTTGAAAAAAAAATAATATTTGAAGAATGATTCTTTTTAATTTCTGAAATCTGAAATGAGAAAAAATTGACCCCCCACAATTTCTTTTTACCCCCCCCTTTTTTCCCCCAAAAAATTCTTTCCCTAAAGATATGGTCATAATCTCAATTCAAATTTCCAATGGAGTTTGCAACCATAATTACCCATTTAAATTTACCATAGTGCTAACTTAATCTATTTTATAATAGAATTTAAAATATAGTGTCAAATCTTTCATATGGATTTTTTTGTAAAAAAAAAAAGATGCAACATTTGCAGATATTTTTACTGGTCTTCCTTTATAAATATGCATTTCTTTAAACATAATTTAAAAGCAGTGTAAGGGAAGTAATCAAAACGTTGTATTTGGATTACCTCCTTTACACTGTTTTAAATTATCTTAATTGTTCATTAACCATTACTTTATACATAATTTAAAAGCAGTGTAAGGGAGGTAATTTCAATGATGTATTTGATTTATCTCCCTTACACTGCTTTAAATTATGTTTTGTACTAAAGTATTTGTCCATTAACCAGGACAACCTTGTTTTTCCCCCTTTTTGCCCCTAATTCCTAAATGGTTAGAGCCATAACCCCCCAAAGCAAATCCTAACCATCCCTTTGTGGTATGGAAACTTGTAGTATAATTTCAGAGAGATCCATACACCATTCCACAGTTATTGTCTGGAAACTAGAAAATGCTTATTTTTGGCCCCTAATTCCTTAACTGCAGAGTTCGCGAAAATGGTCGGTCCTGTCGGTCAAAATGAGGCTCGGACCAGTATTTTGAAGGCTAGTGCCGGTCCCGATGACCGATGTAAAAACGGCCGTTGTAGTGCATATTTTTGGCACTTTTTTGTATCGGTTATTAGATGTACCGCAACTGTTTCCAATAAGTGTTTACATCGGTTATCAGATGTACCCGCTGCCAATTTCCGGTACTGGTTTTCGGATTTATTATAAACAAACCAAAGCGGCGATCTACACGTGGCCTACTAAATTTGTTCATAGAGCCATCCCTGGCAAACAATCGGCGATTGAACCCTACAATGGAGCAAACAAATACTGTAACAGCCGAGAAAGTGATTCAGATGATGAATGGATAGTGAAGATGATTTTAAATAAGAACAATCAGAAGACCTGAACTGGTCCTTCATTGTTAATTTGCCTGTGGGTGCGAAGAATAAAACTAATATTAATAAAGTTATTTTTCGATAAAATATGTTATTAATTTTATTTCAGGATAAATTGACAGATTTTGTAGGACTGGCTAAAATTTTGTAGGACTGACAAATAATCATGCTTTGTCGGTCCCATGACCGACGGGTCAAAATAAGTTTTCGCGAACTCTGTAACTGTTGGTACCATAACCCCCAAAATCAATCCCAACCTATCTTTTGTGGTATTTAACCTTAAGAGATCCATTAATATTATTTTTTTTTTACCTTCAAAGACAGTTTCAGGGATAGAGAAATAAGATTTTTTTTTTAAGTGGCCATGCTTTTCTAAATTCACTTGCCCTTCCAGATTTTTATAGTTACTGGCCCTTCAAAATTGAGAAGAAATTATCTCTTAGATCTGTAGTAATATGTTTTATAAATTATAAAAACATCCAATATCAAAATTTTTTAGTGATAAAGAAAAGTAATGTCACGGGGCCTAATCTAGGATTTTTTAGAGGGAGAAGTGACTTCAAGAATTGCTTGAGAATTATCTAGAACTAATATTTTAGTTAGTGTTATAGTCAAGAATGATTAGACAATTTAATTTATATCACCACTTGTCACTGATAAAGTGCTATTTTTTGTTGTTATGAAAGATATCTCTCTCATTAACTAAGGTCGTAGAAAATTCTGAAACAAAACAGGCTGCTGATCACAAGCTGGCCACTATTGTGTCATATGTTTGCAATCAAATTATCCATCAGCTGATTTTCTACTTGTTACATTTCAAGATTTATTCAATTAATAGCAAAAAATCTCCTGTAAATTCTTAGCCCTTAAATTATCAAATAGTACAACTGGTCGGCTCGTAGTAACTGAAAATAAAACAAATCAGCTGAGTGATTACGCAACAACCTCGTGACGAAAATCATCGTAAATGATAACTCAAACAGTCCCTCGGTTTCCCGTTTAAATAGTTTTGAATGTTAAAGCCAAGGATGTTCAAAGTCGGCGTTGCATTTATTTCATTTAATCGTCTACAGTATTAGTCCCTGGTCGTATAAAAAATGTTGATTTTCCTGGTCAGTCACCATTTTCCTTTACCTGTGCAACTTGTAAATCACAAGTTGTCTCCCTAATACCTAATTTGATAGCAATTTGACTTCGCTATAAAGTCAGTAGGCTGGTAATTTAATAAAATTTATATCGATTTTCAAAATATTTTGGTGATTTAAACCATCATTTCGCCGTCAAGATTATTGGATTTTGACACGAAAATGTGTGATCTAAATATAACTTTGAGTTTCTGTATTAAATATTTCCTGTTTCTTCTTTCTTTTCATATACCTTTTGGTTTTAAGTTCTAGAGTTTATATTTAATGACTGTATTTTGTCACCTGCAGCACATTTTTTTTAAATTTATTTATTTGTATTTGATCGGCAAACCCAGAATTAACCTTATTCACTCCCAAAATCTGATTTCCAGTTTATAGCGGCCATTAGTCAAAATTGTTTTAGTCAGTCAGATATGTTTTTACTCGGTTTTACACATTACTTGTTGATTTTCACCATAAAGCTAGCGGTTGAACACAAAGAGCAGTGCTGTCATGAATAATATAGGTGAAAATGAATTTTGAGATCGTTTGGGAATTTTCCCGAAAGTGGGAAAAATGTAGGGTTTTTGCCATCAGGAATGGGGGTCTGGTATCCAGACGCTGTGGAATGCTAGAAAAATCCATGAAGGGTGTCAAGTTCTACAGAAGAAGAAAATAATGGCCACCGCAAGAAGAAATCATGCGTCTATTACAAATCACCCTTAAAATGGTATATTTTAAAAGTTGCACAATCTTCGACTAAAGATTTGAAGTGGAGAAAATGTCCTTATACCTCAATTGGACTAACTCAATATTCAACAAATGGTGGATTATACATCAACTGAGGTCAGGTGGGGATCAAGGGTTTTGAAAGGGGGGCCTGCCCTGTTTGAAGTGAAACTTGTTAAGTCTATGCATTTTTCATGTGTGCAGCTCCATTATGGGTGTTGCCCACCCCCTAAATCTGCCTCGAGGTATAATCCAACAATCAAAGGTTATCCTGACCGGTGTAATGCAGGGCTGCCAAGTCACACGCATTTAGCGTGAGACTCACGCATTTTCATGCTTATTTGGCGGCATTTTCCTTTGATCTATTGTTTTTTTTCTTTGATCTTTACGATTTTGGACAAATCTCACGCATTTGCATTATTAAAAGTTGGCAGAACTGGTAAATTATGCCAATGGCAAATTGGACATTTTTATATGAAAGGAAAATATCTCTAGCTACTTGTCAGTGCTTACTTGCTTCGTGTGCACCGAATGGTGGTGTAGGCACAATATGTTCCCAACCTGGTAACAAATTGTTAAGTTGTAACTGTCAAATGTATTCATTCTTGTCCTGAACGTTTAAACACATTACGTCTGCAAAGAGCAGGGGACACATGGTCACGTTATCATGTTAGATAAACGGGACACAATGACTATATTTACTATGACTGATAGATTTTAAAACAAGATAGTTATTATTCAAACAGGTTCTCCTTTATATATACGCCTCTGGGTCAAACTTACCTTTTAAGCACTATCAGCAAAACTGTAAACAAATATTGTTTTGTTCTTGACAAACGAGTAAGATGGCGCGAAAGGTCTGTAACACTACATTTAGAACCAATTCCGGATCTAGAGTTTATTCCGGAAATACCATATAAATCAATATCAATATGTGTGTGTTTGTGGAGGGGGGAGGTGTCGGAGGGGGTCGGAGGGGGTCAAATCCCGAAATCCCGAGTTTATTTTTGCTTAATCCCCATTTCCCAGGCCTTATTTGACAATATCCCGAAATCCCGATAAATTAGCATATGCTTTTTTTTGGCAATGTACATTAATTAATGATTGTATACTGTTCAACGCTATCAGTCAGTCTGTTGTGCAGATAAATAGACTGTGCCATTCCAGATCTTAAAAGACACATAAATAAAATAGCTAGTTTGAGCTCAATAAAAGAAGGAAAGAACTTTTCGTCAGTTACTTGGAGTACGATTGTACATTGTATACGTTATCAGAGGGGGTGGACAGCTTTTGAGGGAGGGGGAGGTGGGAGAAAGGGGGGAGATGGGAGACAAAAAATAGGTGGGAGAGAAAAAAGGATTCTAAAAGTGGGAGGTGGGAGATAGGGGCGGGAGGTGGGAGAAAGGTACCCCCCTGTCCACCCCCTCTTAACACTCTTCTTCACTCTGCAACTTTTTTTGTGCTAGTCCGAAGCCAGGATACAGTGTCAAGTAGTTGTGTGTATACAGTGAATTCAATGCTGTTTTTTTTCGGGTAATTCTTTATTTGTGTTTTGCCATTTAACTTTGTCCGACAATTTTTTTTTAAATTCAATATAGGCCCTCTTTAGCTCTTTGGTATGCCCGGGGTGATCACTGCCGCAGTGACTGACATTATCCTGTAAATAACTTTGTAGAGTGCTTCAAAACTTAAAATTGTGTAACAGGAAACTCAAACAATTTTTTTTTGGTCAAAATTAGACGCTTTGGAAGGGTAACTTTGTCTTTGAATACTAATCTTGTGCAGACGCACCTTGTTTAAATCCTGTTTTGTTTCTGTTTGTAAAAATCGTGTCTTCTGCATGGTTTACTTTATATTCTAACATGTATAACTTTGACCAAAATGAACAAAATTATCTTCGGGGAAATCCAAAGATTTAAAACCATAGGAAAACAATGTGCAAGTATATCCAAGTAGTATTAAAAAAAAATTGTTGAACAAATAAACGCGGATACAAAAGGAACAATCACAAACAGAACACAAAACACTAAAAAACATGGACCATACAAACCTACAACTCCTACAAAAACCAGGAGTAAACCCAGGTGCTCCGGAAGGGTAAGCTAATGCTATTTTTATTTCAAACAAGAGTCCCGATAGATAAAAATCCCGAATTCCCGGACGTAAATACACGTAAATCCCTATCTCGATTAAACTAAATCCCGACTGAATTCCGATGATAATATAGCTCGTTCCCGAAATCCCGAACTAAAAATGGACAATGCCGGAGTCCCGATAAAGGTCCGACCCCCCCCCACCAATATGTCTACGATACCAGAGATATATATGTCTCTGATGATACGAACAAGAATTTAATAGTAAGACTTCTATAAAAATCCTATATTCGAAGCAGAAATTGTATTATTGTCAAAGCTGATTCAGATTGTACGATATCATTAATATAATCAGAGGCATACATATGATGTATCAAAGACATGTATTATATGTCTCTGATATTATCTTATCATTGAGCAAAAAACATAAAGCAATCTGATTAAATATAGGTCCGGTGTTCACGCTTTGCGAAGCGTGGATAAAGGTTCGGTATTTCAATCAGATTGATCATTGAGAAATTCACAATGTGTCTATGTATTTTTGTTTTGGAATTTTGAATTTGTATTTTGTATATAATATGTGATATGTCAGTTACGTTATCATTGCTGTATTGCATTTACACCAATATACATATTTGATTTGATTTGATTGTTCGTCTACGACATGTATATTGTGTATATATAAGGACAGAATTTTTCTATGCACTTTATATTCTCTGATTGATTGTATAATAAAAATTATAACACAAGTTACCATACGTTTCGGCCATTACGGCCTTCTCCATTGGAATCAAATTCCAACATTCATATATATATATATATAAAGTCAACTTAACAAATATATATTCATCAATTATAGATTGTACCATGATTGCAATTTCTCAGCAGATACCGAAAATTTTACTAGTCTTAACCGATCACTACCGATTTTGACAGACTGTTCCAGAAGGTAACTGTTCTAAAAAAATGGTGGTATGTGTTGATTCTGCAGTGGTCATGATGACAAGAATTTCAAACTGTGACTGTTTCGAATTCTCATTTCAGTAGCTGGTGTTGGAATATAAAGTACTACTAAAGTTGGTGGTCTACCTTGTACTTATTTACTCAGCTTTGAGCCTGACTAGACTTCGGTATGCTCTTGTTTTTACTTGGGTGGACCAGAGACATATACATATTTATACATATATATATGTCTCCGAGTGGACAATGTCTTAGGTTCCTCTTCACGAACCCCAATACAGTTGAAGCTTTCTTGCAGATGTTGTCAATATACAGATGATGCCTTGGGGTACCACTGAGCTCACCTCACAACGCCTAAGTACGGATGGTGGTGTACAATTTCTAATGGCTCATCTTGCATGGTGTACTGGTACAGTCTCTTCTTCGTTGATGTTGTAAACTGCATGATGGCACATTTCTTGAAATTAATCTTTGTATCTTATCAGTGACCGCTGTGGATAGTTAACCAGGAATTGATTACATGTCATTTCAAGCCATATCATTTCTGTTAATATATCGCAGAAAATAATTGAAATTAAAAGAAATAAAAAAATAACGGATTTTAGAAAACTAGAGGAGGCTCTTTACTGTGTCGCTCACCTACATCTTCAACCTTGAATGATCACTTTTAGTAAAAATCATCACCAAAGGGGAATAACTCTATTAAGAGCTCACTGACAATTTCAGTCATGTTGACGTATTTGTAGATCTTATCCTGCTGATAATTTTTCCTTTTTAAAGTTTCCATTAATCTATTATAGTTTTCAAGATACAAACAAAAAATGCAAAATTAAAAAAAAAAAAATTATCATTTAAAGGGCAATAACTCCAATAACGAGTCGACTGGAGATTTCGGCCATTTGGCCTATTTGTGAACTTGTCTTGCTGATCATTGTAAATGTTGCTATTTGAAATTTTTATATATCTATTACAGTTTTCTAGATACAAGGCAAAAATGTGAAAATCGTCATTAAAGGGCAATAACTTCAATAAGGAGTCGACTAACGATTTCGGTCATGTTGACTTATTTGTATGTCTTGTCTTGCTTATCATTTCTGCCTATTAAATTTTTTTATGTATCATTATAGTTTTAAAAATATTAGCCAAAACGCAAAAAAATGGTAAAATCGTCAACAACTCTGACAAGGAGTCGACTGAAGATTTCAGCTATGTTGACTTATTTGAAGATCCTGTCGTGTTGATCATTTTTTGCATTTAAAGATTCTATCTATCTATTGTAGTTTTTAAGATATTAGCCAATAACGCAAAAAACTAAGTTGGTAATTATTACAGGTCAAAAACTCTAATAAGGAGTCATCTGACGATTTTGGTCATGATGATTTATTTGTAGATCCTGTCTTGCTGATAACTTTTGCTATTTAAAGTGTCGGTGTATCTATTATAATTTTCGAGATAAAAGGCAAAATTTTTCAAAAATGGTAAAATTTCATTTAAGGGCAATAACTCCTATAAGAAGTCGTCCGACAGTTTTGACGCAAATGAACAATAGGTAGAGCTCAACATTATGAGCATTTTTGCCTCACTGTAGCAGTTTTGAAAATGATAGGTAAAACTTGCAATTTACCCCTATGTTCTATTATTAGCCATGTCGGTCATCTGGGTTGGCAGGAGAGGTCATCGGACACATTTTAAAAACTAGATATCCCAATGATGAGTGTGGCCAAGTTTGGTCAAATTTTGCTTAGTAGTTTCAGAGAAGAAGATTTTTGTAAAAGTTAACAGTCGACGACGAATGACGACCGACGCCATATGATGAGAATGGCTCACTTATAGGGCCAGGTGACCTTAAAAGGGAGAGGGCTAAACAAAGATCCTGCATGTGTCCGAGTACCTATGGTGATAACTATATAGCTTGACTATCAACACCGAGGTTGAGAGTTCAAACCCCTCAAGGAGTGTTCGACTTCGATCTAAATTGAGTAGGATTGCAAGTGTTCCTGTCGAAGGTCGCGGTGGGTCTCTCCGTGTATTCCGGCTTCATACAGTCTAATTAAAATATAGAACTCTGATTTCGTGATACTCATATGGAGTATAACGAAATCAGAGTTCTATATTTAATTAGACTGCGGCTTCATCAACCAATATAAACTGTTCGCAATTATATAGTCAATTGTGGCGAAAGTGGAATTAAACACCAACAGTCAAACAATTATTCCATCTAGTTTGTGGTAAGATGCATGGTACAGACACACTTCTAAACCCAAATCTTGTTATTAGTCTTTTAAATAAACTTATTCTTAAATGTGATCAGTTCAACATTGTAAACATTTTTTTTTAGATATTGTCTTTCTGAGTAATGAGGCTTGTATAGGGTATATTGGGATACGGGATATTTGCCATTTTAATTTTAGGGATATGGGATATTTGTCCTAAAAATAAATGGGATATGGGATATTGATGCATTTCTAGGGATATTGAATTTTGAAAATGAAAAAAAAAAATGTGGAAATTAAAAGTTAAGTACAGATATATTTACATCTCACTTGATAAAATTGCCAAAAATAATTTACTAGAAAAGGTCATTTAAGTGCTTTGTTGATTTTCATTGAGTTTTGTTATTATAAAACACCAATGCAACCACACATCCCATACTGCATGATAGGACCCCACATTATTGATCACTATTTTAGTGTTTCGGCAGTTAAAGCTTGGGATTAGAGGCTTGGGATGGTCATTTTAGATGCATTATTTTGATATAATCAAATATGAAAATTATTCGTGTATATATTGATATATATTTATA